CCTCGAGGGAACGAGACGCTGCGTCGCGGTGCCATACTTCCGGCGTCCCTGCCAGCGCTTGCTTCATTCCTAGAAGCTGACGCTGGTCTCACCGCACGTGCTTTTATAGCTTCCTGGTCATTACGTCACCCGCCGTGACGTCTCGCCCATCTATTGGTCTGATTACACACGAGGTTCAGAGCCCGTCACGCTGAAGGGCGTTCCCCTAGCGTTTCCGACACAGCGTCTCGTTCCCTCGAGGAACCAGGGTTACATACGTAACCTGAGACGTTTTGGGACGTGACCTAAAGACAACGACGAGTTAATAATATTGAGAAGCGGTTCTTCTGCTACAGTTAACCATTGACTATAGCCATTCAACATAACAGTATAATTGAGAGCTATCAATTTTAACATGTATTAGACTTTAAAAAATAACTTCTAATTTAAGTGAACTTAAAACAATCTTCACATAAACCTATTATAATAAATGTAACATTTACCTGTGCTCTTCAGCAGAAATATACAGAAATTAAAATTTAAGTTATCAAACACTAAATTCTAAATTAAATATAGATTAATTCTTAAAGCTATACAAGTTATTTTTTCCTCTTTTTTTTCTTCTTTGTCCTTTGATTAATAGACATCACAGCAGCTGGTTATTAGGTTGTTTTGGCTGCTATTTCTTTGACCCACTTCAGGTCTTAGAGTCTCTATTAATGAGCTGACGAGTTAAATCGGGGGTGTTAGATGATTGAGACGGTGCTGGGCTGCTCCAGGACAGTTTTGAAAACCAATTCAGAGACATGTTCTTAAATGTGACTCTAAAATATATTACATGCATGCACAGTTTTAAGGCAGCTTTAATCGCCTTTTTGGTAACTTCATGACTTAACTGACCACGACGTTGCATGCACGTAGTTTATTTTGCGCTTTGATATGAAAGGATACAGGCTACACTCTAAAAAATGCTGGGTTAAATACAACCCAGTGCTGGGTAAAATAGGGACAAACCCAGCAATTTAGTTGTTTTAAACCAGCGGTTGAGTTACTACCGAGAAGGTTGGGTTAAACATTTAACCCAACCCATTCAACCATTAAACATTTAACCCAACCGCTGGGTCAAAACAACCCAATTGTTGGGTTTGTCCCTATTTTACCCAGCACTGGGTTGTATTTAACCCAGCATTTTTTAGAGTGCACGCCGGCGCCTTTGTGCGTGCAATTGAAGAGCATGCGCTGCGAGCACAGTACCGTTTCAGCACTCGTTTGACTCGCGCCTGGCGCTGAAGTGAAGTGGAGCGCGTCTGAAACGTATCAGTCATTCTGCGACTAAATAAATGCACTTCTTGTCAAGAGAAAAAGTGACAGAAGTAGCAGTTGTGAGTGGGGTGGCCAACCCTAGCCCCGGCCCTGCGTTAATTGCGTTAAATATTTTTTACGCGTTAAACTGAAAAAATTAATCGGCTGCGTTAACGCGCTATATATAATATATATATATTTATTAGTGCTGTCAACATTAACGCATGCAATTAATTTTACAATCCTTTACACGTTAAAATAATTTAACGCAATTAACGCTAAATTACTGAAGCACAATTTCTATTCTAACCCTTTAATCCAATTTTGCTTCTCTACTTGTGATCAGATAATTTCTCCGGGAAAGTTTTCAGTCCAATGATCCAGTAATAAGTGAATGCATTCAAACAATCCGTCCAAAACAGCGCTAATATAAAGGAAACCAGGCTGATTAGATCAGAGATTGCAGAGAGAACAGAGTTTTCAGTGAAATATTCATTCCTGTGTGTTTAGCTTTTAAACACGAGCTCTGTCATATTCTGTCATTGTCTCTGAAGAGCGCAAGCCCTCACACGTCACACGCACTGTGTGAAGTACAGACTGAACGGATTGTCCACACGATGGCCAGATGAGACACGACTGGATAATCAAGTCTCGCTAGTAAAGTTTTGATGGATGAAGACTGCAATCAAAGTAAAGACGATTGCGGTGGCGTACAGGAGTCATACAGTAAGCACGCGTGAGTCCGTTATAATAAAGCGTGAATGAGCTCTTGACACACTGATCACATTGTATTTATGCACAGGCACAGACATTTCCATACATTCATGTTGTTTCCACACACATTCACGATAATGTTTTGATTTGTCATGTTTATGTTGCTGTGTTTAGTTATACTGAATGGATCCGTGTACTGTAGTAGATATATGCAGTCAGCAGGGGGTTGGTTTAGGTTTATTTTGGCATCTCCATGTGGTCCTGTTCGGTATCACAACTTGGCTTCTCTAAAATGTAAAAAAGGTCTTTGCTGTTGCACTGTACACATACTATAAAATACTACTATATTTTTTCTTTCATATGTGCTTATATGGGCTCCTTATATCATTTGGTTCTTTGGTGTCCTTTTGGAGTTTCTAAGTGTCCTTCTTTGGAAAGACATCAACATTTTTCTTGAAAAATGTTTGCAGAAAATACAGATTTTTGAGAATCACCCTTCAATATTTTGGTTTACTTTGCTGGATATAGCAAATTATGCCAAATTAACATTTGAAACAAGATAAATGGTCTATGCTTAATTTCATGAAGTGTGCGATTAATCGTGATTAATCACAGAATATAAAATACAGTAAAACAAATTATATATATATATATATATATATATATATATATATATACAGTGGGTACGGAAAGTATATATATTTCATATATATATATGAAATGTATATATTATATTTAAATTAAATAAACTGGAGAAACTAGATCTGGAAGATATTTGTTAGGCATGTCATACAGTAGTTATTAACATTTATTGGTTTGATGATCAGGGAATTCATGAACTAGTAAATGTCACTTAGAATAATTCAGTAAATGTACATAAAATGGTGATTCAAAATGTATAAACATATCATGATATGTTTATACATTTTGAATCACCATATCATGATATGTTTATACATTTTGAATCACCATTTTATGTATAAACATATCATGATAGAATAATAGATTTTTTTCTAGTTTTGAGAAAATGGCTATTAAGCTGATGCCTTCTAGTGTTACTCTGTTGTAGGATCGCTACAAATTCAAAGCGTACTTTTTTTCTTTAGCTCTGGAGGGCCACTAGTCTTTCACAAGTGTCAGATGATGTCCCCGAGCAGCCCTCCAGGCACGCACAATACACACTTTAATCAGGTATATAAACACCTCTGAGAGTCCATCACGCTGCCTCTGATTGGCTCTTCTGGGACTCCTGATTGCTGCAGGAGATCACGTGAACCAGAACTAAGAGTAGCAGAGCCTGAGGGACACCTCTGATTGATACACAGGAAATGAGAGATTGAACCAGATCTCGACCTGATCCGAGGGTGTGACTTGATTAAGACACAATCATGGTGTGTGTTTTCACTGAAAGGCCATTGAGCTCCTGTGGTCTCACCTCAGTCTGGAATACATAGAAACCAGCTGTTGTTTTAAAACCAGCATATGCTGGTTAGGTAGGTTTTGAAGATTGGATGCTGGTTTAAGCTGGTCCTTAGCTGGTTTAATCTGGACCTTAGCTGGTCATGTGCTGGTCCTGAGCTGGTCCTGAGCAGGAGGGACCAGCTAAGGACCAGCTCAAACCAGCATATGCTGGTTTTTTCAACAACCCGGTTTAAGTAAACTGTTCTCCCTTCAGCCACTAATTTTATCCTTTAAAACTCATCTTTGATAATCAAAATGACATTTTAATACCCTTTTGTGAAATAATTTCTTCGTGCCTTAAAATGGCTTGAATAAAACTCTATGCCCTTACCTCATTTAGTATACACAGAGTCATGAATATGCAAATTAGCCCCACCTTCACTCTCATACTACCTGATCCACTTTCTGTATTAAACGCTACACAATGGCAAGGAAGAGCATAATGGCTTGTTTACGTCCATGTATCAGAATGGTAGAGGATTTTATGTCTCACTCTCTACAATGTCGCACACGTAACAGCAATTGATATCATTAGCTTTTGGCTCGACTGTGTCATCAAACAGCTAATAATGTGTTGTTGTTGTTGTTCACAAACCATGTTCCCATTTGCCATTTCAGACAGATAGCTTTTAAAACTCAACATCTTTAGGTAAAAACGCTTTGCTAATGATATGAAAAGCCCCAAACTGCAAGTTCATGGGATTGGTTACGTGTTTGTGACGACAGGAAACGGGGTCTGTTTCAAACCGCATTTTTTAGGTTTTAGTACACTGCTGTTTTAAGCAGAAAATCCTCAGCAGTGATGTTGACTGATGAATTTGCACATGGTTTGTCTTTAAGCACATTGAAAACCCCAGATAGACAATGTTAAAAGCTTGGTTTTCATCACATGGGGTCTTTAATGCTACATACGTGAGTATGGCAAACGCAATAAAATGGTGTTCTCTGAACTCTACAGCTGATTGGACGTGTCTCTCTTGCCCTCCCCAGGGTATCGTGGGACAGCGAGGGAGAAGTACACATCCTCAGCCCCGGCGCCAGTGATGTGGGAATCTACAGATGCACCGCCACCAACGACTTGGGCTCTGATTCAGAGACAACACTAGTTCTGCTGGCTGGTGAGACATTACACATGGTTGCTCTCTAATGACTGTTTTGAATGTGAGTGGATGGTTTTTATTTCTTTATAAACAGAAACTCCCACGATCGCTGCCTCGCGGAGAAACACGTCAGATTTGAAGAGCAGCAGTCTGAAGGTGGTGGTTGGAGGGGTTATCAGTGTCCGTTTGGGTGCCAACCTCACCCTCGAGTGCCCCGTCAAAGGTATGGGACGATTTACAGGTGACTCTCTAGAATTATGAAATGTCACAATCGAAAGAAAAATAAGAAATTGTATTCTGCATATTTAAAAAAAAAATCATTATATCGTGTCATAAAAACTTGAAGCATAATTAATAAATAAATAATAAACACCAGTGCTTAATCTAACATAATGGCATCTATAAGCAAATTTGTAGTGCTATTAAACAAAAATATTATATAATGTTATATTATATTATATTATGTAATAAAATATAATACAAAAATTATAATTAAATTAGAGACATATATTAATATATTGTTTTAAAATTAATGTATAATATTTTAATGTACTTAGTTTAATATGCTAAAATAATAATAAGAGGACACAATAATGTAGGACACTGCACAACTGAAATAAAAATGCGGGGCCCTTCGATGGGATTTATGCCGCGCTGCGTCATTTACAAACGCCAATCTACTGTAGCAAAACAGGGCTCCTGTCGCTCTATTGTACTAAAATATACTTTTTATAGAGCTGTCTATAGATTTCTACCTACGCAGTGGAATTTAATGCATACAATTCAGATGTAATTATAGTGTTTAATAGCCTCATTGTTCAATGAGATCAATTTTTGGGTCTTTCGTGCCCCTCAAACTTCCCAAACTGGACACTCTTCTCCCTTTCCCCTCCTTTTTATTTGCATGTTTATATAAACAAAGGTCTCTGAGGTCATTGTGTCTGTCTTCACTCACCGTCGCAGTTTATGTAGACTGTGAACACTGGCCTCACAAAAGACCAGAAAGCCACAAGTGTCAGCTGTTCTCTCATGCTTTCATCACCATCTGATTCCATGAGATGAATAAACAGGATTTGAAGGCATAGGCAGGCACGGAGCAGTGCAGATGGGTAATGATGTAAGAAGATACTGTAATTGAGTGGTTAAGCTGATGGTGTGGAGAGATGTGTTGTTAGAGGACACACACACCCGGATACAGCGAATGTCTGATCCAGGTCACGTTATTACAGAGCAGAATTCAGTCTGCTTATCACGCAGGTCATTAACAGTAGATCCGTTCTAAAATCTAGTGAGCTGCCTACATAGCTTCCATGTAACCTCAAACGGGACTTTGGACGTGATTTTGGAACACTCTACACAGGCAGCTACTCTGTGCATCATATAAGAAGTGCAAAGCACACAGGAGGGAATTTATTTTAGTAGATTTTAACATTTGCATGCTGCTAGAAATACATTCCTCTTCCTATAAGTAAATCTGAACAATTGTATTAATACTCTTCAGTATTGAAATCATTTAAAATATAATTTTATTTATACATTTATAGTTTTATTTGTCTGCTGTCTTTTATTTATCTACAGCCTGACTATGTAGTTAAAATGATAACTTCAAAGCTAAGGAATTGGAACAGAAGGGGGAAAAGGCACATAAAAAGTGTAATTTTATCTAGCAATAAATGTTAAATAAAAAAATATATATATCTTTTAAATTCAACAAATAGTGAGAAAATATTGATTGTGATCAGATCAGAAGGTCAAATTAAATATTATTTGCACTATTTAATTTTTCTGTTCATTTTATATTTATAAATTGTTGTATTGTTTATATTGTCATATAGCATATGACTGCATAACCCGATATTGGAACATAAGAAAGAAAATAAAGCATTTTTTTCTGATTCTATTATTTTCTAGTGATAAGTATTTTAGTTTAGTTTAGTTTAGTTTAGTGAAAGGATAAACTAAATATTTCACTTGGTTAACTGAACTGTTTTATATTTCAGTTTATTTTATATCGTTAAACAGAGGAGAAATGTAATAAAATATATAATTTTTTTCTTTGATTATGTTATCGTCTAGTAATAAACATCAAATAATCAACTTTTTTTCAATTTATTGTATTTTTTATCATTTTATTTGATTTAATATAGTTAAAATGCTAACAGTGTAGTGTTAAACATAAGTTGGCCAATGTGCTTTACATCAGTTAATGCAAAAGCTAATGCAAATAATAATAACACTAATGAGAAAATTAATAAGAATAGGACTAGTGAAAATAGCAACAATAATAATAAAGAGCACTGGCATCAAAGTACTACCTTTAGATCTCTCTGACTGGTCAAAAGCCAAAGAAAGAAGTAGTTTTGAAATGAGTCCGGCTCGGAGCACTTCTAATGTGTATTGGAACGGAGCGTGTGTTTGTACGAGTCTGCAGTCAGTAGGCGGTCAGCACATAGAGATAAACATTTTGTATGTAATATATCTTCTTTTAATGTTCCATTTTTTTCTTCATCATCATGCAGTTATTGTTCCTGTGTGCGTTTCTCCTCCTAGTGGAAATTCCCTCTCCAGGAGAGCAGAGGTCACTGCGGCGGCCACTATTAATCCTACCTACATCTTAACAACATCACTTCCTGCCATCTTTGCAGGCATGCCTGACTGTTTACTGGTGCCAGAGTGTGTCAATGCCCACGTGTGCGCTTGATGCACACACACACACACACACACACCTCAAGGCCTCCGATGTGATTTTCCATTGCTAAGAGTGTGTCTATTCATTGGCTCTCAGACTAACGGCTGTATGTCAGTACTAATGTCTCCATTCGGCAGAACGGGGGACCATAAAACTCAGACTCCAATCCATGTGCTGCTCATTATTTTCAGCGGGGGCGTCCCATGGGAACTGGTTGGAGGGAGGCAATTTGCATTCATTGTGCCCATTTGTACAAGTAATTCGTGGCAATCTGCTGGCCTCTTGCTGATCTGCTCTTTGAATCAACATTTTCTGCGGTTTGATTTATTCGGCGCAGGCTTTGATGTTGACATATGGGTCTTTTAAGGGCACGATGGCAGTTGCCCCTAAATACTGGAACTTGTTCAGTGATTTGTCAAGAGCTTAGGTTTGTTTTTGGGAAAGCTGCGCCCAGACCAGCTTTTCTTGAATGGGGTGCAAAATAAGGTCTGAAACTCTAAATATATATTTCACATGGTCAAAAAATATTGAATGTGAAACTCAGTGGAAAAGGTCAAACTTATTTTTACAATGCAACCCTGGAAACTAATATTGGCACTTCTCAGTTTGTGAGATTCTTTAAAAAATTTTTTTAAATCAAACATTAAACACATATTTAAGTTTCACAACATTGTTGAGTTTGACAAATGCAGTCAACAGTACAATTTGTGTAGAAATTGAGAAATTGGATTACAAAATTTCAGCTTTCTGAATTTTAAAGAATGTTTTTTTTGTTTGTTTTTTAATAATGTCGCAAAGTCATGTTATAATTACTTTATAATAGAAAAATATTTAAGTTTCACAACATTGTTGAGTTTGACAAATGCAGTCAACAGTACAATTTGTGTAGAAATTGAGAAACTGGATTAAAAAAAATCAGCTTTCTGAATAAAGAATTATTCTTTTTTTTTTTTTAATATTTTTAATAATGTCACAAAGTCATGTGAACACAGGTTTGCCTGCAAATGTGGGACACAGCTAAAATAAAATAAGTAAAAACATTTTTTTTTGAATGTAACAAGTGAATGTGTTGTTGTTTTTGTCTTGTTTTTTCAAAAATGTCAAAATTATCTGAATAAAGAATTTTTTTTTTTTTTTTGAAATATTTTTAATAATGTCACAAAGTCATGTGAACACAGGTTTGCCTGCAAATGTGGGACACAGCTAAAATAAAATAAGTAAAAAAAATTTTTTGAATGTAACAAGTGAATTTGTTGTTGTTTTTGTCTTGTTTTTTCAAAAATGTCAAAATTATAATTTATTCAAAATGATGATGTTGAACTATTTTATTTGTTATTCTATTTTATACAGTCTACAAGGACATGAGGTGGAAAAGACCAAAATCACCATTTTAAGGGCTTGTTTTGATGTGTTTAAAAATACCATCTTTTTCTGCAATGCTAATTTTATTTTAAATAATACTTAATGTAAAGTATCTAACATTTCTGACAACATACAATTAGTCCCTCAAACACCTTTAAAAAGTAATGGGACACCTAAAGTGTACCCTACTCATAGAAAGCGGTGATTAGCGTCAGCTCCGGACTCCAGTGTGAACTGATTGATTGGGAGTGACCTGACGTTTGTCTCTGAGCAGGTGTCCCGCGGCCAACGCTGAGCTGGCACCGCAAGGAGGGTCCACTGGGCGCCAGCGCTAGTCCTCTCCCGGACGGATCTCTGCTCCTGAGAAACCTCACACCACCAGACTACGGCACCTACTCCTGCGTGGCTGCCAACAGCATTGGAAAGTCGGTGGCCTCCAGCCTGCTGCGTGTGGCGGGTGAGTAGCGATTCCCACAGCAGCCGTATGTCAGTCCACACTTCTCCGGGTTACAGGGAAATCCTCACACGACAGCATTTCGGTGCTAAGTGAACCGCACTCAGTTTCCCACAAAGTCAGTGAACTCGGCAGGAGATTTGCGAGTGGCTTATTGCTATTGGCATCGTTTGGCGCGTCTTGTTGAGAAATAACGGGAGACCTACAGACTGTAGGGGTGGTAAAATCCATTTTTGCAGCGGAATGAAGAAATATTCCCTTCTTTGTAGAGGCCGCTTGTCTCTGGAGATCTTATAGGCCACAAACAGAAGACAGCCGAGGCCTTCCCACCGTATTTCATCGAGGTCATTTCTGTCTCCATCACAGTCGAAACGGGCTGTAATCTCTCTGCTGATTGGGAAAAAGCTCTAACTAGGAGTAATAATTCAGCCACTTGAGGTTGTTCAACCATCAAAGGAATAATCTTTACCTGTAGGAATGCTTTGGTTGATTGCGTTTGATGGTGAGATGTTTGATGACACAGTGCTGTCTTGATGCCAGGAGGAGCTGTGGGTGAATCTGAGCACCAGGTTTCAAAGGAGATGAATAGGAAGAGGGTTCTGATGGCCTCTGTGATTGGCACCAGCATCACGGTCAAACCTGGAGATACCTTGAGGATAGGTACGGCACATTCATGTTGTTTAAATGATACACTCTTAAAAATAAAGATTCCAAAAGGGGGTATTTGCAGCTATACGGTAGAAGAATTATTTTGGTAT